CACACTTACTGGATATTGAAATAAAAGAATGGTAAGAGAAGGCACTTTATTTGAATGATCAAATACTACCACCTAAGAGAATTTGCATGAGCAATTACCTTGTGCAATATATCTGAGTATGGGGTCGAAGGAGATTTGGAACTTTGACGAAAGATTCGAAGGGCGTAGGAGCGAGAGGTGCATCACCCGGTCCTACAGAAATAATAAAACTATTTGACTAAACATCTTGCGTAGCTAAACCATTGTCAAATTATGAACCTTTATTCTATCGCATAATCAACCTAGCAGATTTCAGTTCCCCTTTCATCAACACACAGGAATAAATATCCATAAGCGTTGTAATGAAGCATATTAAACACCCACCGGACAAAAGTTACAGGTGCTTAAATACTAAATCTTACACAATGAACTAACATAACATTATGGGCTGCATGATCACATAATGTGGGATAATCAACCTACTGATACAAGTCACATTTATGATTCTCCAATGACTAACTTTGGAGCTCATTTCAACAGGAAGACAAAGCCATGAAAACCAATAAAACAGAAACCCAAGGCAAAAATAGGAACTAAATCGAGAAATAGAAAATAGCCATACCACAGTAGTATGTTGTCAAAACACGAGCATCCGGGGCATAGGCATAAATTTCACTAGCCATCTTGCGAACGTTATGAAAGTGCTCCATATTCAGTGGCTGCCAAACGTATCAATAGAAATAAGAAAGCTGTCAATACGTAAATTTCAACTTAAAGAATACATCAATTACACCAAGGATGAATCATGAGATATAGAAATGGCATAGAATTTGACTACACACTGGTAGAACTATATCCTATTGACAATCAATGGGAAAATTATTGAAGCACTAAGATACCTCATCCCACAAGTAAAAGTAAGCTTTATTCCAATGGGGTTTACTCCTCAATATCTCAACTTCTTTCCGCAGGTAACTTTCCCTTGAATCATCCCTGCTTACACATCAACAGGCAGATAAAGTTAGTTTGGGCACCTACAACGCTCAACTAAAGCTTGACTGGGCCAAGACATGCATACCCTGCTATAACTTGTCTATATGGTACTGCATAAGCCGCAAGCCTTGGATCAGAGAAATATTCATCAGATTTCCGATGATCGGCTGTGAAACCAAAAAGTGGAATCCAAATGGAGAACTTAGAATGTGAAGCAAAATGATCAGCTTGCACAACACAAGAGATAAACAGATGGTGCATAAACGATTCCAAAAGGGACTTGTAATACCAGGCCATGGTGAGGTGTATGTCAAGACACGCATGCCTTCACCCCATTTGCAAAAGTATGGACTGATCCGATACTGAAGAAGCCACTTGAAATGGAGATCCAATTTCTCGTACCACTCTTCACTTCCATGTTCAACACCAAAACGATCCTTGATTACAGTATCAGAGACGCCAATAACAGCAGGGAGGGATGGAGTCACTGGAATAATAAATTCCCAAACTGTCAATCTTAGCTTTATACGCACTGCAAGGTTTGACACAACATCTTCTTCCATCATATCAGTGGATCCATTCGTAGAAATGAACTCCTCAAATGATGGAGAGAAGAGAATTCTTCTTAAAGATGAGCTTGCACATTTTATTCTTTCTACCTAAAAGATAAGATACAGATTATTGACACGATTTTTTTTTTTTCAAGGGTGAGTTCAATCAAGTAGTAGGAAAGTGAAAATTACCACTTCATCCATGGGCTTTCCCTCTATTGGTTCCATAATATCGAGACAATTCTTAAGTTCCATACATAGCTGATCCTTCTCATGCTTTCCCAAGTTATCAGAAGAGCTGTAACCAACCACATAATTGAGCATCAGCGTTATTAATCTCACACAGCACAATGACATCAAGCAGAATAAATAGTATACAGAGAGAGACTCACCCTCCATCAGTTTTCATTGCAGAAACAATGATCTCTCCCTCATATTGACCAGGAGGCTGCCCATTAGGAACGTCTATTGAGACCCAAATCACACTTGTTTCTCTACAATAGAAAGCACTCCTAGGCACGTCAGTCTCACGAAATAAGACAGCTATGTCACCATATACCAGATTAAGAAATTGGAGTAGTGAGTGGTAGTACCCTGGAAGTAAGTTAAGTTGAGTAACAGGTAAATCAAGGGGTACCAGAGCGTCAGGAACACCTAAGACAGGCACCACTCGCCGCAACTTTAAAGACTGGCCAACAACTAATCTGTCATTTTGTAAAGAAGAGAATAATCATATACATATCAGAAAGGATAAAACCGCAAAGAGAAGAACCCATCTCAAATAACGAAAATATCTAACCTATCTCCAGCCGAAGAGCATAAGTCACTGCACTGAACCTGAACACTCCCCGACGGACTCGAACCAGCCCAAGTCACTTTGGGACGCATGGCAATCTGAAAACTTTCTCTCTCATTTCTAGCTGCCAAAAGATTTATCTGTATAACATAATAAGGAAGCCATCTAAACACATGCATCATTTCATAATAAAAACAAACAATAAAGGATAACTGGAGCTAGTTTATTTAGTGATTACTAGGTCTACTGTATCACCCCCACCTTTCAAACTAATTCATAACGTAGAACCAGGTACCATTCCACTGAGTTATCTGCAGCTACACTAACAATGGCCTTATTCAGACAAAATGTTCGGTAACAGATAAACCTTGCTCCGTAAACTTTCCGACCAAATATATGATTATCTCTAGAAAGTAAAAGGAAACACCTAACAGAACACAAGTATAAACAATAATCGCAAACACATAGTAAAGATAATGCAACGCTTACAGTCTCTAGAGGTCGAGGTGTTTCTTGTGAACCGACGTTAACTGTATTCGGCATACACCAGACGTTCACCAGATCAGCAGTTGGAACCACTGTGGGATCCGTAGATTGTTTAAGAGGCTCTGAACTCAGACCACCGTCGTTAAATCCATAGGCTGTTCCTCCACCAGCCAGGCCTTCTACTGGCACAATCATATCTTGAGATCCTACAGAATTAAAAAAAACAAAAATTTTAGATTCCTTCAACAGTCAACTTATTGATCTATAAAGCTCATTTCTGCAATCACTTTCACATATCTTAGCACACGCTTCCAATCTAAGACTCCAAGAAATTTTTCACAGAAACAAGTTACTTCGAATAAGGTAAGATAATGAAGCTAAATCCACTTCCTAAAAGAAGTAATCTCCTTTAGATCACAGTTAATTAGCATGAAACTTGTGTGAAACCAAACGATCATATCCTCCGCAGTCTACGAAATTTTACTTTACGAATCCATTTCGCAGCAACAAAATTGAACACGCCAGTTTCGTTCTCAAACAAACACATCGTCTGATCCTTTTTTCCGGCCATTTCCATAATTTCTCAATTCGCAGACGATTATCACAGGTAAAAACAAAGAGAGGAGCACAAAGAACAACTAACGGAGAATTGCGGGAGTAAAAGGTTAAAGAACTCGAAAAATGAACACTACTAAAGGGCGATTATGAAGGCGAATTGAGTCTTACCATTGTTGTTGTCCATTTATCGGCGCGAATGGATGAAGAAAATCTGGAAAATCTGGAGAATCTTCAGGGATTGAAGAAAGATAGAAGAGAAAGAAACGATCTGTGTTTTCCGAGATTTCTGAAGTAAAGCTTACACGTATAGACTCCACGCTTTTGTTTACTCCAAAAAGTACCTTTTAACTCTTTTTGCTAATATTCTTTCGGGGTGATTGCAAACATGATTACTCATCTAATTTACCCCTCTGAGAAGTGGAATATCTCCCTCTATTTTTAAGAACTAGAAATTGTTCCGCGCTAGAGTTTTTTAAAATCATCTATATAGTAACAAATCTTAATAATTTATCATGTACTCATGTTTAAGCATTTGAGCATCCTCGTTTAATAATCGTATCCACATTGAAAAACAAAAATCATAAAAGAGATATGTAATTTAGCTATGAAGCCCATTATATGATGTTTTTGACCTACATTTAGATTTAGTGGAGCCTATCAAACATAAAAACATGACAATTAGATTATAAAAATAGCTGAATCAGTGTAATAAGAATCTTAACCCATCTAAAGTGTCTTACTTTTCTCCCCTTTTTGTTCTGCCAATTCATAGAGCCTTTCAATAAGCACTCGGGCATCCTCAAGTTTTTTTCTTGTATTGCCTCTTCAGTATATGACAGAAGCTTAAGCTTTATTTACCATTTTTCCCATCCCACCAAAAGTATATATGGAAAATCAAATTTGTTTTTATGAGACCGTACCTCAATGTAGAATCGTTGATATTATCATGTAAAAAACTTTTCAATTTTAATTTTTGGCGATCAAAATTTGTATAGGGAAAAAACATACTTACATAGGTATTAACCTGGAGATCCATGAACATGATGTACCACTACCATCCTCAAAATGTAGTGGGCATTTGATGTCACGACACCACGACCATTAGTCTTACTCGGTCTTGTATTTTTTATGAGAAAGGTGATTGTTCTCATTTTATTCTAGATAAATAATGTCTGTTTATCGATTATTATTTTTTTCTCGCTATTGTTCTAAGTTCTTTTTAACTTTGGGAAAAAAAACCGAGATATTTGATAACTACTGTTTTTTACAAAAATATGACAATACTGTATCACTTAGATATTTTATGATAATTATAAGTTATCCCTTAGCTAATTTCTCACCAACTATTCTTTTTATTAGTAAAGTTGTTTGCATTATTGCATATATTCTTTTGCCCCCAAAAAATTCTTTGATTCATTGGCCTGATCGTGTAAAATCGAGTTTAAGGTTCTGTGTAGTCTATTACGTACTGTAATAGAAGGGAAAATATGTCTACAATGATAAAAACATAGGTAATTGGAATTTGATAACACCAAAAAGTCAATTTCTGTCTTAAACAGAAAACCAGGTTAGTTTTGCTCTTGTCTCTATCTTCTTATTTTCGTATCGCACAACTAATGACTTTCAACCATTCTGTTGGAAACTATGTGGGAAAAGTAAAACATAAGACTGTCCAAAATTTCTTATATCCCACTTCAAGTGCATTTAATCGGATGATTATTCTCCATTATTAGTCTGGAAAAGAAGTTTTTTATTGTTTATTAATAAAATGGAATGCAAATTTTGAAAACAAACCATGCAATGGTCTTCTATGCTCCCTGTCTCGTGAAGACCAACCAAATATTCTCTGTTATATCCTCATTTTTACTCTATGTGATTCTCCTTTCAATCTTTAGCAAAGCTACTTTAGAATCTGCATTTTACTGCTTATGCTCCTTTCCCACATATCTTTTAGGTTTTCACCAAAGATTCTTCGAGAAATGTCAAAGACCAGTATTAGTAACCATCTTCCAGATTTCAGAGCCCTAAATACTCAAAAGGAGACACTTTTCTGAACTCTACGGCATTCTATTCTAGATTTGAGCAAAGCAACTTCTCTGGTAGTATTTACTTCATCCTTTTCTTTCTCAAGCTGCAAGAAACCACAAAATCAATGGAACCATAGAAATATGATGACTATTAACATTTTATGGTTAGACTATATAATATGGACAACTTTATACCTCGCATTTCTTATTTGCTAATATTAGTACTTGTCAAGCGAAGTTAAACCTGGTGAAACAATTTCAACAACAATAAAACTTCAGATCTTGAACTTAGTCAGACATATTTGGAATAGAAGAATAAAAAATTCATGTATTTGGTAACATAGAATACCAAAAATTTCATATCATGGTCTCATGCAACTCTAACATCACACAAACCCCTAAATGATTTGGAGACTCTGAATGTCCACATCATCATAAGAAGCTGTTTTGCAAAACTGGATAACACAGTTAAATTAAAGTGTAGAAATTGAAAGCAATCGACATTCAAAGAATCAAGCAAACCTCACATTACATAGTAGGAAAACTGCAGCTGTCATTGAAAAAAATTGTATAGTATATTTTTTTTAATTCAGATCAAAATTACACTGCTTGTGTATTTGGCATGAGATGACTCTGCTTGGAATGTGGATAAGGAATACTAACTATTGAAACACAGTAACTTACATTCTAAACATGACACTTGTTTGGGAAAGAAATTAGAAGTCAACTAATTAAATTGTTTATCACCTCGGTGTGTATAGTTGCTAGTTCTTTTCGAGGTCACTTTTTCCACACGGACCAGACCATTCTTTGTCAATATCACGTAAACAGAAATAATTCTTCATGGCTAATCATTTTAAAGGTTCTTCATAAACAAGACAAATAAAGTTAGCTTACAGGAGAGAGAGATGTTACGTTTTATGATATGCACTAAAGAATTGATTTGGAATATTTGGAAATAACTGATACGGACTTAAGGATTTGGTTCCACATTCATACCTGAAAATTTGGAATTTTTTTGGATGACATTGGTGACTATACCCTTGTTTATTCAAAGTTCTCCACGCCAGATCTACAACATAAAAACAACATCAACACCAAATCATGCGGTTAAAGAGAAGAAGAATCTAACTTCTTTCCTTTGCTGAAACATGAGAAGTGAAACAAAATTGCACATTACAATAGGAGAAATGAGTGATCTTTGTCTTCTTCTTTGGGTGGTTCACAGCCCCTAAGATACATATGTTTCACGCACAACTCAACCAACTGAGCTGGCAATTTCTCATAATTTCGTAGAGTTTTTTTGGAATGATTTTCTCTGGTGTCGCCATATTTTCAAAGGTCAGATTAACGACTAATAGATAGTTTTTTTTTCTGAGTTACCTTACTCCTATGTGAGGACTACGGTCTTTACTGCGTTCCTTCCAGTCTTCTTCTCTTCCCTTGGCCGATTCTTTCATGGAGGCATCTCTTTGAAGAAGTATTTCTTTAGCTCCGGGTAAACCAATACCAGTTTTGTAGTGTGAGTCTAACTCCTAGCTAGCCGCCGTAGGTTTCATCGATTGTATTTTAGAAAGAGAGGTATCCAGGAATTAGAGAATTTGATTGCAGAGAGAAGGTGACATCTTGAAGAGGAGTTGATGTGGAGACTGGAGCAAATAGATGAGTCGAAGAATTTGAGGAGGATGAAACATCGTTACACTGAAGTGGAGAACTCAGAGTGTCAAACAAAACAATAAAGAGATGAAGGTGACCGAGTTTTAGAGCTTATGCCTTGTGGTGCCAAGAAATTAGAGTTGTGGTCTTGGTTAATCAGGGCTTGGTCGAGGAAAGCCTATTTTTATTTGTAGATTAACCTGCTGATGTGGCAGCTTTTTAGAACAACTTTGTCTATGCTGATGTGGATAGGGTGAGGAGTCTCAAACTTTAACTTTTGTTAGAGTAAATTTTTAATATAATTATTTTTAAATATCAAAATAGGTAAATTATCTTCAAACTTATTTTAATTCAAAAAAAATCTATACTATTATTTGCGAAATCAAAAATCTGATATGTCGTCTCCTCAGCGATTGTTTTAAGTGTCATTAAATAAAAAAAATTATGTGGTATTTTAATTAGTTCTGATAAATCGATCATTAATCTTATGTGTAAATACCCATGACATGGCTTTTTCTCTTGATTAGGGGCCAACGATTTTATTTATAGGCCACTAATATCAAAGTCGGCCCTAACCTAAGTCGGTACAAATAAAAACCAAAAATAAGAATTAAAAAAAATATGAAGAAGAACTAAACCAAAAAATAAAGAATATGAAGAAGAGTAGAACAAAACAAAAAAGGAAAAAAAAGAAGACAAATCAGAAGAGATAAATGAACTAAAAGTTGTAGACGATAAAGAAGGAAAAAAAATATAAGGAATAAAAAAATTGACGTCAATGATAAAGAAGAAGAAAAAGACGAAGAAAAAGACCGGAAAAAAATCATAATAAGAAAAATTATGACAAGAAAAAAAAATTGAAGAATAAAAAGGAGAAATGGATGATGAATTTGGAGAAATAGGAAGATAGAGAAAAATTGAGTTAAAACTTTTCGAGACATGTAGATGCTTCAGGACATGTAGATGGAGAGAACGAAAAGTGTGAGGGAGAGAAATAGAGAGAGAAAGAGAGAGAGTGAGTGTGTGTTTGAGAAAGAGAGAAAAAAATATAGTAGAGAGAGTTAAACCTTATAGGTACATGGTATTAAATCTATGTTATTTCGTATTTTCTGTGTTCCTATTTTTTATATTTGAAACTAGGAGAGAATCCGTGCTACGTACGGGTCTTATTTAATTATATTTTAGTTTTTTAGTGAAAGTATCAATTTTTTTTCATTTTTGTATAATTTGTTTCTTTCTTTCATAAATCTAGTAATCCCTTCTATTCATTTTTTTTTTGTTTGTTCAACCAAATTTCGAGTTCTTTGATCTAAATTTTGATCTAGAGATAATTATTAACTTTCTCAACATAAATATTTTATTCTTTTGTTTATTTTAATTTTAATAACCTCTTTTATATGTCATTTTTGAGTTTTTTTTATCAAAATCCTGACTAACAACAATTTTATCTTTCTCAATTTATCATTTTCATGTTTTCTAACTACACATATTTATTCAATCCATCTTTCCAACTGATATCTTCAAAATTGTTGCAATATGTAATATTTTATTTTTTGATTTTTTGGTGTTAAAATTTTATTGCTTTGTTTTTGTTATTCTTTCGTTGCTTATTTTTGTTAAACATTTTTTAAATTTTATCCTCATAACTTGTTTTTTACCATTTTGCATTTGTATGATCTTAGTCATTTCTTTCATCTATTTTTTTCAAATTTTTTCATATAAATTCTCACATAACATTTATTTTGTTATTACATATATTTTATTGAATCCATCTTTCCAAGTATATTTATTTGTTGCCATATTTTTTTTTTTCTATCATTTTTCTCTCTAATTTTGATATTATCTTATCTTCTCGATTATTTACTAACTTTTAGTTTTGTGTGTTGTAGTTTTACTCTTGTTTTTGTTCTTTAGTTGCTTGAAAATCTTTTTGACTTTTGTTATTATTTGTTTTGTCTCAAAACTTGTTTTTTCTTCATTTTTGTTGATTAGTTATCCTCGTAATTCAAAGATGACAATGAAAACACATGAAAATAAATTAAAATGATAATCACTATACTTTAATAAATTTGAATTTTATTTATCCTAAGTGTATGCTTTGATATTTTTAATTAAACATATTTAGATATAAATTACATAGTTTATATGTATTTATGTTGTTTAATGGATTTATTTTAGTTTTATTATTTTTACTAAACATATTGGTTTCAGTTTTAACCTCATAACTTGCTTTTTTACTATTTTACATTTTTATAATCTTAGTAACTTCTTTCATATATTTTCTGATTTTTTTTCATTTTAACCCTCACATAACAATTAAACTTTCTCAATTTACAGATATTTCATTAAATCCATTTTTCTAGCCAGTACTTTTAAATTTTTGTATATTTATTTACTACCCTAATTTGTTTTTTTTTTATCATTTTCTCTCTAATTTTTTCGATTAGTTATTATTTATTTTTGTGTCATGTGGTTTTATAGTTCTTGTTTACTGTTCTTCAGTTGCTTGAAAAAAATTTCATTATTGTTTTTAGTTTTGATCTTAAAACTTTTTTTTTTTTAATTGATTGATGACACTATATTCTTTTAATTTAGAAGACAACCACTATATTTTAATAGATTTAAATTTTATTTATTATAAATTTATGTTTTAATTTTAATTTAACATAGCTAAATGTAAACTAAATAATTTTATATATTTAAGTTGTTTAATGGATTTGTTTTATTTAATTATTTTTGAAATAAATGCTGATGTGGAAAAGCTGACGTGTCGACGCTGGAAAGTCCCCTTATCTTTTTCTATATTAGATACTTTTTACTTTTTTTTTTTTGTCGACATACTTTTTACTTTAAATGCAGTTATTTAAATTGTATGATATATATAATTTAGGACAAGGGGGAAAGGGAGAGAATGAGAGAGAAATATTGAAAGAGAGAGAGGGAGAGTCGGAATGATAGGGAGGGACGTATGGATCGGGGGAGAGAGAAAGAGTTAAAGTTCTCGAGTACATGTATTTGTTTGATAAAAAAAAGAAAAAAAATATAAAGTCGGAGAGAATGAAGAAGATGAAAGCGATGATGAAGAAGAAGATGATGAGAAAAAGATGTGGAAAAAGAATTTAAAGAAAAAAAGTAAGAAAAGACATATAGAATGAAGAGGAGAAGGAAAATGAAATAAAAGAAAACTAAGACGAAGATACGAGAGAAGAAGGAGACATAAAGATAGAAGACATAAAAAAAAACGATAAAGAAGAAAAACTAAAAGATAAATAAGAGGAAAAAAGAAGAATATGAAAAATAATTATGTGGAGACGAAAAACTTGCTTTTGTCTTAGTTCAATTGATGGTAAGTTAATACACTTACTTAGTAAACATTTTTATCTTTAATAATTGTTTTAATTATTTTCAGTTTTTGGTTTATAACATTGATATGTCCGCACAAGATTTACATCTTATACCTGGGTGAAACCCGCCCATCCAGTAATACCGGGCGTAACCCGAGAGACACGACCCTAAATCCGGATTTTTTTAAAAATTCTCCCCAAATCTCCCAAATCGATCAAATCCCTAACGGTTTCTCTTTATCTCTTTCCCGATATTCGATTCTCTCATCGTCAAACTAGGGATAACTACAGATTTAACCCTCCCGAAACTGTTATCGATCCAGAAAAATGGCTAAAACAAGGTGGACAAAGAAGAAGAAGAATATTGGAGCTCCAAAAACCAAGGGCGAGAGCAGTTCCGATCCATCCCCTCCGACGGTTGAAGCATCATGAACGGAGGAAGAGGTTGAAGAACAAGTTGTGAGAAGTGAAGAAGAAAGAGAAGACCTAGAGAAGTCAGACAAAGAAGAAGATGAGGAAGGAGGAGATGTAGAAAAGTCAGACAAGGAAGAAGAAGATGACGTAGAAGATGAAGGAGAGAAAGACGGATAAGAGGAAGGACAGAAAGACGAAGAAGGAGAGGAAGACGAAGAAGGAAATGAAGAAGAAGACAAGAAATCAGAGAAGGATGTGAATGAAGAAGAGGATGAAGGAGACCATGGAAATTCATACGCCATGGACGAGGATGTGGTCTCAACGGTAAGTATATCTGATTATATTAGCAATACTTGTATAACTAGGTACAACTAGGCAGAATTTATATGTTAGTAGTGGTAGAACAGATAAAACTATGTGGATTTTCGAAGTAATATTGGTAGAACTAGGTAAAACTATGTTAATATTAGAAGAAACACCGATATTACTAGGTAAAACTATGGTGAGTTTATTAGTAATTCTGGTAGAACTAGGTAACACTAGGGAACACTTAGAGAAATTGATATGTTAAACTAGTATAACTTGGTAGAACTCAATTATTGCTACATGATTCCGAAGACGAAACAACAGCTCTACGACCTATGAGGATGTACTTCCCACCGACGGAATATGTCAAGAAAATTAAAATATCGACAAGGTGGTATATCTTTGAATTCTTGAATACAATAGACGGGTTGAAGCATCCTCTGAGTAGTGTTGAGTTGAGATGGTTTGAGAAACATCCGCAGTTCAAACACATTTTCCATATGCCCAGGGACAGATACCACAAGCTTATGAGCATGTGGATGCTCCTTCAAACGACATGCAATGAAAAGCAAAAATAAGTTTGGTTCGTTGTTAATGGTGTTTCTATCTGCTATGGTCTAAGGGAACACGCCTTGATATCGGGATTTGACTGCTGCAACTATCTACTAAATTATGTGGAAGAAAGCAAAGTCGTGGATAAGAAATTGTGAATAAGCATTTTGGGAAATGAGCAATAGTGTCTCATCAAGACGTGAAAGAAAAACTGGAGGAAATGGAACCTTGTCGATATAGATTGAAGAAGTTGGTCTTGTTCTTCTTATCCAGCATTGTCGTAGGGCAGACGAAGAATGGAGTAGATGCTACACCCGTTTTGGAATTCATTAAAATTGCAGTGGATGATCTCGAGTTATGTAAGAGCTTTCCTTGGGGGAGATTATCATATGACTATATGGTGAAGGAGATATCGCACACGATGACTCATTCTGGGGGTGTAGTCAAGGCGAGTGTAACCTGGCTGATTACAGGTTTCTGTATTCCTTTAGAGGTAAGTACAAATTTATTTGAGGTATTTGAAATTGGTATTATCTATTATAATTGAAGATAGCATTAACTATATGTGTGTTGTGTAGCTTTTGGCGTTTGAGGCAATTCTAGAGCTAGGGAGTATTTTCCGAGAATATATTCCAGAGCTAAGGATGTGCAGGTTAAAGTTTAAGAAAAGCGAATTGAAAGGGTTTCCTCTTTCGAAAATAAATGAAAAACTTGGTACAATCAAGGTTAGTTACCCTTTGCATATGTTTGTTATGTTGTTAATGTTTAGAACTATTTTTTTTACATTTTCAGGACATTGAAAGCTTGGTGGTAGCTACTCCAGAAGAAAATGATCTTCTGGCTAGACTCACAGAAGAAGATGACGATGTTGATAAACATGATATTGTAGTCAACAGTTGGATGCAGCGTCTTCATGAAGGATATACCATATGGATTGAAGAGATGTATAATGAAGATATTGCTTCACGACTAGGACCCATACTCGAGAATGTCCCCAATGAATTACGTGGAAACACGCCTGTAAATGAAGTGGCAGAGCTCATAAACACTCTGAAAGAGAAAAGATGATTGTTATCAAGGATAAGGTTGATGATTTGGTGGGAAGAGTTGAACTGTTGGAATCCTTTGTGAATGAGCAAGGAGAGACCTCAAAGGTAACCATATTTTACTTACCATGGGTTTTGTGTTATTTACATGATGTTGTTATAAATCTGTGTTTGACTGCAGGCCGCTGGAAGAAAGCGTAGGCGAGGACAAGATGAAATGAAGAGTTGGGGGTTGGAGTAAAACTATGTGTGACTATGTTTTTCTAAGTTGCTTTGAATTTGAATTCGTGTCAAACTACCTACAACTAAGTAGCTTTTGTGTTTGGATTCGTATTACTGGTAAAACTATGTTTAAGAAACTTGCTTTTGTGTTAGAATTTATATTACTCGTAAAACTACGTTAAACTAAATTGATTTTTTGTTTGGATTTGTATTGATATTACTATGAATAACTATGTCAAACTAAATAGTAATACTACGAAAAACTATGTCAAACTAATTACTATGACTAACTATGTTAAACTAAACAGTAATACTATGGAAAACTATGTCAAACTAATTGGTATTACTATGAATAACTATGTCAAACTAAACAGTAATACAATGAAAAAATATGTCAAACTAAGCAGAAACAATATGTTTTTAATTAGAAATATATGGAAAACATTGATTGAAACAGGGGGGGAGGCTTACATTATTAAACAAAGACATAAAGCATTGTAGTTAAAACAAATTCATAGGTTTAACAAAGACCCCTGATAAAGATTAGCTAAACATTTGGTTTCCCATAAGCAAAAATCTTGCCAACACCTGCCAAAATCTCCTTCAGATTTGCAATCTCCTCAGAATTGGTCTTCAGTTCTTCACACATTTGTTTGATCAGGAAATCATGTTTTGCCATGCTTCGAATCTTCTTGCACTGCTCTTCAACTGTATTCCTCAACTTGAGAACCTCTTCTCCAAAAGCATAAACCCATTTTTTTCGATATTGTAAGCTATCATTCTGCACAAACCGAATAATGAAAACCCAGAAATTCAAAGAGTCTAACAATAATATAATTTCATAAACATAGAAATTCAAAAAGTATAACAATAAAACAATTCATAAACCCAGAAATTCAAAAAATTTATCTCCCACACAGTGCAAGTAAAGTATCTCCCTCTTGGTAAAGTGTCTTCAGTAATTCCATAAAAAGGTTCTTATCCCTCGATGATTTTTTCACCACAGGGACATAGTTTCGGAATGCCCTCAGCAACATGATAAAGCCTGTCGATATACTGCTTCGCCTTTTTCTCATCCTGGCAGCTGGCATCCATCGCTAGGAAGAAACCCTTGTGAAGAAATAGAAAGATTCAGGATTGTGAAAAGAGATTGACGAGAGAGAGAGAGAGAGAGAGAGAGAGAGAGAGAGAGAGAGAGAGAGAGAGAGAGAGAGAGAGAGAGAGAGAGAGAGAGAGAGAGAGAGAGACAGAGAGATAGAGAGAGAGAGAGAGAGAGAGAGAGAGAGAGAGAGGTAAGTGATAACACCATATTTTGACCACTTTTATGGATTGTTTTGAAATACTTTTTCTATGTTTTTATTTCTTTCAATGTTTTCCTAGTACTTGAAGTTTCAAGACACTTTTCAGGAAACTTAGGAAAAAGCTTAACAAAATGGATAGATACCAGATTTTAGCTCAGAGTTAAACAGTCAGAAGTTCACCCTCAAATGAAAATCTTCTCACCGTCTGATCCAGCTCAAATTTGGATACTTTAAATATGGAACTACCAGCTTTCCAGCACATTTTACAGCATGACAATCCCACAGTTCAATCAAAAGTTATGCGAAGAGCAAGATGTCCCGTAAATCAGCCGGCAAACATTTCTACCCGCGGCTAACACCCAATTCGCATTGGTCCCGTCCTTCCCGATAGTGGAGATTGGCCTGTCCGACCTAGAAGCCCATTTTAAAGCCCAAGATGATCCTCTTATTTGGAGTAACCCTAAGTAACGCCCATAAATGACTTAAACACTATAAATACATGATTTTAGGAGCCCTAAAGAAGGGAGACAGAGATACAACTCTTCTTTACAACTTTTTTTTTTCTTTCATTTTCTTAGTTTTATGTTTAAGGAGATAGAGATCTATCTCTTGAACCCTTTTTGTGCTTTTACCATATCGATTTCAATACAGCTTTTCAATAAAATGTTTTTGCTTTCTTTAATCATGTTTGAGTAGTTTTATTGTTGGGTTTAAGGGATTTTCGATGGGGGCTATACATGTTCGATGAGGATTCCATTAGCTATCTTTCTTCTAAATTTATTCTTAATGTATGGGAGTAGCGTCATGAACTAGAATCTGATCTAGGTCATTGGTGTTGCGAAAGTATTCATCCGCCAGATCTAGTTTGATAAAAGCAGATCAACCATAGGAGTGGAAACCTACCTATGGGCGAACTGTGAATGTTGACGAGTCTTAAGAAAGCTTGCATCTTTTCCCTTCCAGGACCAGAATGGAAACCTACTGGTTAAGGTTATGAGAGATAGTTGGTTATGATCACGACAGTTGCATATTCATACGTTCATAACTTGAGTTCTAAAAGTTTTAGCTAGGATCTTTTAATTTACTTGTTAGCAATGTTTTGAATCGTTCATCACACGGAGAGAATTTCCCTGAAAACCCAGCGTCTCGTACTTATAAGTTTTTCACCGATTTTCATACAGGATTTAGTCATTAGGTTATTTTCTTATTCCAGTCGATTTTCATACATGCTATTTAGGTCTAGTCGTTTTCCTTGTTTTTAGTCAATTTTATTAGGTTTAGTTATTAGGTCATTTTTAATTCCTGTATTTTACCGTTTAGATTAGTTTTAGCGTTTTAAAGAAACCCCCCAAAACCCCTTTTAAAATCACCTAGTTCTAGACTCCCTTACTTTGTATTTTTTTCGAAGGCTTTTGCTGGAAAGAACATCCTTCCCTTTGGATTTGATCCCTAAGTACTACAATCGATCAGCTGTGCACTTGCGACTTATTGATTCTTATTAGGGTAAAACTTGACACATCACACCCTTGACCACATCAAGCCGGGGAAAGCACACATTTCCTTTTCTGCAAAACCCCTAAGAAAAGTCGGTAAATCGACTCTAGAACCCCTTTTTCCACTTATTTTTGTTTTTGGTTCTTTTTGTTTCAGTTCTCGTAGCAATGGACCTACAAATCGAAATCCCTACTACGAGGGAAGTTTTTACAACACTCCTCAAGCCACCAAACACAGAGAAGAGCAATACATATGCGACCTCTTCAACTTTGTTCAGAACACCGATCCAAACCACCAAGCATTCCTAAACGACCCTTACACGCCTCCGATGGTAAACCCTAGACCACCTGTTCATCGCCTACCTCACCAAATCCTCCAGCA